TATATTTGTTTTTGCTGCAGCACATTACAGCCAGTATCTGGCTGTAAATAAAAGAATGAAGACACAAGATAATGTATTTTACCTAATATTTTCAATTTGATGGGTTAAAATATGTATTATTTCATGATAAGCCACATGGAGTTCTGGTAGGGTTAAAAAAGAAAAAAAGAGATGGCAAATTGTCCACTGATGCACCAGATGATGCACCAGTAGATGTTGTGTGTATGGTTCATGTTGTTCACATTAACAATGGTCAGAATACTGTTCTTTCAAATCAGCCTAAATCGTAATGTTGTAATTTTGTAATAATGTAATGGATTGTGAAAAACATAAAATAAAAATACTGGCATCTGGAACACGATGTGTTAATTTTGGACACTGCTGATTGCGTGAACATTACATATTTACAGCTATTAATGTAAAAGATAAATTAAATATTTGAATTACTGGCCTCGCCTAGCCAGCCAGCCAAAGAAGAAGAAGAAAAAAACATAATTATTGTTGAGCCCTGACATGAGAGCCTTTGTCAAGTAATCAGTGTTAGTCATTTAGCAATGCTAGCTCTGCGGTCCCCATTTTGGGAGTTTAAAGACCCCATGAGTAGTAGTCTGAAAGGTGTTTAGTTTCCATTCCCCTCCTTAATGGCCATACTAGAGTGAAACACTGTGATTTATTAGGTTATAAGAGAAGACATGACTGCTTGTATGGTGAGGGTGTACAGTGAGCATAATAAAGGAAATGTTCAAACTTTCTTTCGTTAGTGTCAGCCACACTGCCCCATTCATCCCATTCTCATTTTCACTGTAAAGAAATGTTCCATACAAAGTCTATTTAACACGTAAAGTGATATAAGGTAGAAAAGTGTGTGGTTTACAGGTTTAATTATTGTATTAGATTTCGTTACACCCAGTGCTCTCGACTAATCGGCCCCAGTAATTGTGGACAGAGGGCAGGTGGGCTAGACAGCGTTTGCACAGGTATGAGAGAAATGTCTTCCCACACTCACACCTGTTTTGCCTGAAGGCCCTGGACCACAGAGACCAATCAAAAAAGACAAGGATGATGGGAAAACGGGGAAAAACGAGTTTGGCCTCTCTTCCAAAGGTGACCACAAAACATCAGTGTCGGTAAGTGATTGATCGCTGGAAAAAGAAATAAAAGAAAGGTATTTGGTTGCTTGGATAGCTATGGTATACTCATTTTTCCTTAAAAGCCACATTTTTTATCAGAAAAGACTAAATGTAATTATATAAGGCTGATTATGATTACCACCAGCAGTGCCACTAGGACTAGAACATGCATATCACCCTGATATGTTTTTATATGAATAATAATTACTAAGAACATTGATATTTTTGTTTATCCTTTTTTGTTTTTGACATTTCTCATTTAGAATATATGCAAATATACTCGTTTTTTTAGAGGTTTGTCAGATATTCATGGGGGATCTCACACCCCAAATAATTACATTTGTTTGTACAAATCTATTGTTCTATTTCTTGCTATTTTTTTACAGTACAGGGAAATTCCAGTTTGGAAATGGATCCTGTGAGTGTCAGTCAGGCCTTGGGTGTCATAGTTCTCTGGTATGTTTAAAGAATGTCACCATCGTACATGGCTTTTGTCACTGAGTGTAACCATACTCTGGTATAAACGTGCGGTAAACACTAGAGTAGCGTAATGAATCCTGCTATTGCTCTGTGTGGAATGCTGCGCTGCGGTAAACCCCTGACATCAATATCTGCCTTTTAAATCTGCCAGCTAACTCTCAGCGGTGGTGTTCAGAGGTGTCACGTATCCCAACTGTTCCCTGCATCCTCCCAGCATCTATTGTCACTCGTTTAAGGTGTTATCTAACCCGCTATTCACTCCAGTAACGCATATGCTGCTCACTTCTTTCCATTTGCCAGGACCACTCGTGTTTCAGGAGACAAGAGGATAGATTTGGGGAGGGAAGGGAGATTTTGTTGGAACTAGCATCATGAGGAGGTGTTTCATATCTAGCGTGAGAAAACACTGTGCTTTTTGCTCTTAGTCACCAGACCTGTATGTGTAAGAGTTAAATACTAACTGTTGACTAACTGTAGCTCCCTGCAAACATTGCTAATTGACTTTTTTATATATTAATAATATTTTAGCATACGGGCAGACTATCACAACGTTTTTATTGATTACAATATTTGTTTTTCCAAACAATGGGTTGATGTTACCTTTTCCATTTTTAGGTCTTTGTGCCAAACAATTCACGGAACAGTGTCATCAGTGATTGTCAGTGTGAATTATGTAATTAACTAGCAAGTAACATTTTATTTATTTATTTATTTTTTATTTTTTTCTCTGAGGCACACACACACACATGATTTCCTCTTTGTAGCCAGCTTTTTAATGGAAAACAATTTTGAGGTTCTTTTCAAACAAACAACCAAATTTGTTTGTTTTTGTTTGTTTTATTTTTCCCCTGAGTAATATTAATTGGATGAAAATGTGTCTCTGTCTAGTCCCAGTCTCCACTACCGTTTCACAATTTAGAATAGTGCATTTATTGTGTGTTACTTGTGCTTATATTTCTTATAAAGACAAAAATCAGACTAAACAAAGTGATTGTGGTTGGTGTGGAGTCACCACTCATGTTCCCTCAATACTTTTGTGTTTTATCACCCTTGTTTCCTCTTTTTTGCAACCTGCCTTATTTTTCTCAGAGCCTGAGAACAAATGGAACGATTAGGGAATCCTTCCCAGCTAATCACACTGTGCCGTGGCCACTTCCGCCTTGTTGATTACCACGGAAACCATTAGAGAGAAGAAAGTGGCGGGATGTTTGATGGTGTCCGGCGGCTCAGGGGAGGTCAGAGAGGGGTGTGTGTGATAGGCCATTTAGTCTTCCTGCTCCCATTACTCGAGCATTTCCTCTATCTCACACACACACACACACACACACACACACACACACACACACACACACACACACACACACACCTATAAGACTGGAGCTTCATGCACAGTTATATGATGTGATTATAGAATTTCGGATACTATCTGAGAATGTATCGATGTGTGTGTGTGACAAAATGTTATCAAAAAATTAGTTAAATCATACATATATAAAATATTTTTTTTTAATTGTAAAAATTCAAGAAAGTTTTCAGTTAGTGTTGGGGTGTGGGCTAAGGTCAGGCTGTAGTATTTATAACTAGCTGTATATAAAAAACTAATAGAATTCTATGGAATGTCTCCATTTAGAAAGCTAAGTAAACAAGTATGTGTGTGTGTGCGTGTGTCCAGGAAGGTCAGAGCTTGACCTAGGATTGCCTGGCTGCACGAGCAATGTGTGTGATTGTGTGTTATTACACGTGTATGCACACTTATTGTATATATAGACTAATTCAGTCTATGCTCATTTTGGTTTCTTCACGCTAGTCAAAAAACTGAAGTTTCAGGAAAGAGTCAAATGGAAAGGAGTTTGTTGGTCCTTCACTCCATTACTCGCGCACTCCCACACACACACACACACACACACACACACACACACACACACACACACACACACACACACACATCTAAGTCTGGACACTAATCATTACCATACCACAAACTATTACTATAGCAATAGAGCGCTCGATCGTATTGCACTCAGAACTACCCACAGTGACCTTCATGGGCTATCAGGGATTCACACGCTTTCATGTCAGCTGAACCTGTATATACAGTAATGGTCTAACTTTTCGATAAATAAAATGAAAAATAATTTCAATGTTTTTTTGTTTTTTTTTCAAAATCAATCAAGTAGTCTGTCCCTCCATTGAAAGTAATTCTGTCAAAAGTTCAAAAAGGGATCATCAAAGTAATCCATATGATATAGTCATTTTAATCCAAGTCTTCTAAAGAGATACAGTACTCTGGATGGTAACACTTTATTTTGATGGTTCCCTTTAGACATTCTGTTGACCATTAGCAACTTTGCAACACTACCATTCATTAGAGTATTAGTAGACTGCCTGTTTAATATTTGCTAACACTTTATTTGAATGGTCCCCCAAAAGACCACTGACCATTCTACTGACTATAAGTAGACTAAAAGTATGTAAATTTCTTCTAACTCTATCCTCTTTACTAATACTCTACAAATACTCTAATTAGAGTATAATAAACAGAAAGGTGTGCACCGGGCATTGATACCAGCATACAATAGGCTACATCATGCAATACAACACCATTATTTTGTGTGCTATAATAATATTTGTATAAATTTACGCCATTCTGGATTTTGGCATTTGCTTGTATGGCTCTGAATTTCAAAACACCTCTCAAAATTCTTTTTACGGATGCGAAACACTCAGAAAATTGAACACGATCCGATTTTTTTTTTATGACAGACGGAAGTTTCGGAGGCAGTGTGTAAACGTGATTGACACAAATGTGAGGTCGAATTTATTTTGTAAAGTGTGAAGATTTTGAACAAGAATTTTGTACTTAACCCATGACCTTAACCCATGAACACATTTAAGTTATGCATTTATTTGCAAATAAACACTGATCAACGAACATACATAGATTTCTTCATATATGGTACGAGAAAGATCAACTGTACTTGCTTGACATGCAAGAAGAAACCTCAATGGTTATTGCAGAAGCTCAGACATGTTTGTGTGAACATACTTCACTCTTGTGTATCATCTACACATGCTTGACCTTTAGTTTACCATATTTGATGTCCTCTATGTATGTGAGTTGTAAGCAAAAGCATAGCAATGCCCACCCTACCATCAGAAAATATAAAAATCAAGTTTCTTTTGGGATTTGCTTTTCTATAAAATTCTCAGAAACCCCCTGCAGTTTCATCATGGACCTCTAGGAGCTGGTGAACAAATTTTTCACCCGCAATGCATCTCTCCTCACTTCCCCTATTGTAGTCTGATGTCTCTATGCATTTCTCCACCAACATGCCCACAGTTTACAGCACAGCCCATGGGTATGGTCCCAGATGGCCACACTAGCGTTTGCTCTGTTTGGGGATGATGGGGTGTGATCTCAGTATAAGATGGGTGACATATGCCTCCTCGCTCTGTTTAGGCAACCAGCAGAGAATCATAGCTAATAAATGAAGACGGAATACCACAACAACTCATACCTCCAAAACTATGAGAAGACCATGAATAAATGTGCTCCAAGAACCTCAACTCATGTCAGTCAGTTGGTAATAACAGTTGATAATATTAGCAAAGGTAATAGCATGCCTCTCCACAACAAGCTAAGTGCAAAGTTTACTTTTGAATACATTTTGAACCAAACCTGAACCTTGGGAGCAAGAAGTATAGAAATAGTGATGCAATAGTCACCAGTGTGATTCTCAGGAGACACACAGCACACATCAAAACTTACTTAAATACTTAGAATTTAAGTTGTTTTACTCTATCAAATAAATAAATATATGTGTACTCATTTTTTTTATATATATATAAATAATATGTGTGATATAACGGATATGTGAGCAACTTAATGACAGTGCTGAGATAACCTCAGAATATAGACTCTGGAACAATCATCAGGGAAATTCCTCAAACAGGAGTCATTACCCAGAAACCTGAGCAGCTCTTCATTGTAATGTGAGAGATGATTATAGCTCTTGAAAGCTCTTTTGCAGATCAAGCTACAGCTCCCTTTTGTAGCACCACATTCTTTCAGAAATATGTAAAAATACCAATAGAAAACCATGGACAAATTACTGTTACACTCCAAATGTTGGAGAACCTGATCTGGATTAAGTGAAAACAGACTCTTTGGTTTCAGAAACTGAATCCAGCTTTTGTTCTCTTGTGCTGTGGTTTAACATTTGTTTATGCTGAAACAGTCTACTGTTCATCCGAGGGCTGCAACCCACAACCGTGGAAGAGGAAGTGGAGCTGATCTACAGGTGTAAGGAAAATGGCAAAAAAAAAAAACTACCCTTGGATTTATAGTCATTTAACTCGCTGTTCAATTTCCTGTTTCTATCAGGCTAAAATGTTTCAAAATGTTTTTGGTTTAAGGCTGAGGATGAAAATGTTACTTCTCCAATTTATAACATATTTAGTTTGGAGTTCCCAGTTATGGTTCAGTGAACTTTATCTCATATATTTATCCTTAAAATGTCCTATAATAAATAAAAATATACATCGATTTAAACAAAGTATGATATGTTGCTGAGATCTAATAGAAGACATAAGATTATTAGTTTTTTTTGTTTTTCTCAAGCAAAGATCTCTATTTATTCTTTATTTAATCGCACTATTGTCTGGGAGAACAATTAATAATAAAGAGGTCTCATCTGTCTTCCTGTTCTGATATTTACCCCTTTTCGGTTCCCTTTATCCTTATTTAAAGTGCGTCTTTCCTTTGTTTTTCGTTCAAGTCCTACATTTGCGTTTAATCTGTGGCTGATTGTCTCTTATTGGGGAAGTGCCTCAAGATTCTAACAGGATCAAAACAGCATTTCAGGGAAGAAAACAAATAAAGCACATTGTGTTCTCAGGGCCGTATCACCTCCTGGACGCTGGCAATTTTGCCCTGAATGGCCATGCTCTTCAGTTTTATGTGAATTGCAAATTAATCGTGATTTACAATTGTCAGTGGCCCATGGGATTCAAAACTTTTGCAAGGGTCAAAACAGAGGTTAAATAAAAGAAACCCACCCAGCACGATGGTCTAATCCATGACTCTCAATGAACCAGACAGGAGGATGGAGGAAAGACAGAGAAACAGAGCGAGAGGTCTGTCGTGTAGACTAATTGCGATTAAGATAAGTAAGTGTAAAATAGTTTGATGGTGGTCTTTAATCACTGCCATTTTCTTCTTAAGTGTAATGTGCACCATGTGAGAGCTGGACGCTCAACGTCCCAGAATCAGGGTATTTATGTTTGTCAGTCTCATGTCCGGGGATTACACATTACACTAGATCAGCAACAATATTCCATTATGGTAATACTATCTGGTTCATGAGAAAGAGAAGAGAGATGTTGTTGACCTCTAGGGGTGGTGCGATGGTCCAGCTCATTTAACATGAAGGATGAGCACACTGATTCTAGATGTACTCCACTACTCATCCTCTATATTTAGACTGATACTGTATGGAAACAAGTAAAGTGAAGTAAACTCATATACATAGGTCTTTCCCAGGTGGGTCTTTTTCTAATTGCTGGGCTGATGTAATGCAACTGCAAAACTCATTTATTTTTCTCATTACGGCATTATTTATTTATTTATTTATTGTATTTCTCTTTCATTCTGATAACACTATTAATACAAGATAATAAGTTAGAGGTCAAAATGAGATAATTGTAAGGTCTACTTATCTATATATCTTCTGTCTGTCTCTATGAAGGAAATCTGGATGGAGACACAAAAAAACAAACAAACCAACAACTAGGCACAATAACACGTGCATGCGCACAAACACACATAAATCAATATGTTGTGACTAGTTTACATTTGAGGCATGTGAACTGGAGGAAACTGGGTCTGTAGCTTAGATTTCTTATCAATATATGATATGTTTATGAGCATGCACAAGAGAATGTTCTTACTCAATTTAGTAGGGTGTTCACCCATCATAAACTTCTAAAAATATAGCAAACACATTGCCTATTACAAAGTAAAAAATGTAAATTAGATTAAGGTTTAACAATAAAGAATGGTGGTTTAAACTTCAGTCAAGAGTATGTTCATGCATATTGTCATCTAGTCCTCAGAAGTTCATATTTAAACTGCTAGTGAGTTGGACAAACCTTTAATCAATGGCATATTTAGATATCTCAAATAAATTAAGAACCACAGGTTCTGTTCCAGTGTTTTATTTAACATATACTTAACCGTACATGTTTTTCGTTGTATCATGTGTCAGGTCATATATCTACTGATGATGTACTGACAATCAAATATACAATAAAATGATTTCCTGCTGCTATAAGAAACCACAATAATCAATGCTGAACTGAACTAGTAAGCAATTCTGTGAACTTTTATTTAGTGAGGCTGAAACCATCAAATTGAATAAAACAAAATGATGCATCCAAATGAAAGCAAAATAGCCCATTGTATGGTTTATTCTGATCGATTCTGGGCTCAGTTCTCTTTCAAATGTCCAAAAACAGTCAGAAGAATATTGTGCAACTTTGTATAACATTTTTTCCTCCCTGAAGCTGTGTATATAGTAGCAATAGATCTGTTGATATTTGATCTGTGTTTATGTCCTGTGGGAGTCGAGAAGGTGGCAGGGACTTACCCCGTCTATTCTGTACACCGCGGGGTCATCTCTCTCTCTCTTTCTCTCGCTATCGCTTTCCATTTGCATTTCTCATTCTACAGGCATGTCACATAAACAAAAACTGGCTTGCAGCTACGAAACAACGGCCACACGTCAGACATCAACCATGCGTCTTTTCCTGCACAAGACAAAAAGAGGAGCTTGTCCAGTAACAAAATAAAGGAGTAAAATAAGAAATCAAGCAGAACGCTGAGGTTTGCATGGCCTTAAGGGGTTTCTGTGTAGATGAGGACACACATGCAGTCATCATATCAGCTTATTTACCACATCACATCATCTTAACCTGTGTCTGCGTATGTCTCCGGGTCCTGAGAGTCACTAAACAGATTTATATTTAAGTTTAAAAAATGATAACTTCTTTCAAATGTCTTTTTTTTCACTCTATTAATTCTTAAAATTACAGAGGATAAGGTTAGTGTTGGGTTAAGACTAAGATTTGACTTTGCATTGCCTACATAACTAGCCTATAGTCTAAAATTCAATTAAATTTTCAAATATCAATTCTAATATTGTTTTAAGCTTTTTACTTTTGTTTCTTGAATCAAAATGAGTGGGCAGGTCCACACCAAATCTACGCTCACAAAACTTACATTAGATTCCAGATTTACATGGAATTTAAATGCTTATAATATACAATGTTATACATATTGCTCACCACACAGTACT